AGTAAAAAGCACATAAATTAGTAGTACGCTACTAATATATACTGCATAGTACACTATTAATCTTCACTGTTTTTTAATATGATAGAAGAACATCTTCTGTGGATTCTGCTTTCTTTATTTGCTTGGTCGCTGGCTGGAAGCCACCCCCCCTGGGCATCATTGCGGAGGAGGCCGTGGTGTTCCTGCTGTGCAGCACCTCGCCCTGCTCCCGATGCCTGCGTCTCAGCCAGGGTCTTATGTCAAATCTGCCCCTGCCTCAGCCTATACACTGTGAGAGTGTACCTGGATTGTGAATTTGTGATCAGGGTACTTCTAAGCGGGCTTTGTGGAGGAAAGTCTCTTCACACCTATCATCTCTGACTTCATGGTTTCCCGCTACTCGACTTCCTGTTAGCATGACTTACATCAGTCTAGGCTGTTACATCACATAACCTTAATGTAACCACCTCAGTGAAGACCTATATAGTTCAATGCAATCTAGAGGCTATCAGCTATCCACAGATCAAATAAATGTTTATTATATTTATATCACATGTATATAGCTCTCTTAAATAATTAATTTAAAAAATGTTATGTGAAATTGCAAATAAAGCTACAGGTACTGCACTAGCATTTCATTCAAATTCTTTTTCTCTCCTGAGAGGACAAACTCATTACAAATAAGGGGTAAAACACTGACATGCTCTTTCAGAGGAAAATTTTCAGATGGTACATAGGTGATTAGATGTTGAATACTTGTTATTGTTAATGTCAATGGCTGGTTTAATTCCCTCGCTATCACACTACATAATTACCCTTGACATGATCTTTTGTAATGTGCTGATCATTATTTTATAGACTGTATTTCTAATCAATTTTGTCTGATGAAACAGACAGTGAAAAGAAAAAACAGTAAGCACCTCTTTCCCATGCATGATTCCTTCTACATTTTCTTCTTGAGATAATGTCTGGATTGCTGTTTCTTTGTTGCTAGTTCAGTACATTAGAAATCAGCTAAAGTAGCATTAACTAAACACTAATAGGCCATTAAAGACAAACTTTCCTGCTGGAGAAAACAAAAACATTTCAAATATAAATATAAGTCAATTTTGTATGCACAAACTTCTGCTATCTGATGCCATTCATATTAATAATTAATACATGTGTTTCACTGGGATATTATCAGCTTCAATAGATATCCAAACTTTCTTGGCTTAGTATTACTTCTTTTCCTTGCAAACAGTGCAAGAGGCCAAGATAACGTTGACCATTGCTTGATCCTCCCCTGCTGACTACCTGGCAAGAGGATAGACCCAACTGAGCAACAACGCTGGCAGCACCACAAGTGATCCAGAAGCAAACAATCATCGACATGTGTCCTGCTGTCCGAAGCCCTTAGAATCTGCATGATAATCAGCGAATGTTTTTGCATATTTAAGGGCACAGAGTAATAGACCCCTTGCATTTATTCGAAGTGCAGATACACGCACAGCCATCCTGGGAAGCTGATAACCCTGTTAAGGGCACATACACACAACCCTTTGCAAGTGCAAATGTAATGTCCATTGTGGATCTGGTTCAAACTACCTTTCTTGCTCTGGTACCCTTTGAGAAATGACAGAAATGTAGTCTCAGCCCCCCCGGCAGCCGGCCCCATGTTACACTGCCCGCCCTGTGCCCCCTTATCTCAGCTGCCTTCCCAAGAGGCTGCTAGTATCTCCTCCACACCTGAGAAGTGAAGGTTATTCTGTGAGATTGCCTTTAGCCAGGCATCAAGGTGCAAGTCTGTGTTTTATAAGGAAATCTGCTTTTTTTTTTTTGAGTTTAAGATCTATTTGCTGGGAATAATTTCCCAACAAGAGCTTCAGAAAAAAACAGTGAGTCTCCTCTTAGTGTGGGACTCTTGTGAGGTTACTCACATGTGTACACTATAAATAATGTGCATGGCTATAGCTAGCGCTTTCTGGCCCTTTGCTAGCCTTTGATCAGCTCTTTTGCTGGGAATATACAAGGCAATAAAAGGCTGACTTGTTGTTTATGACCAGTGATAAATCTTTTGGGAAGAAAAGGCCTTATTCTCCTTTCCAATAAGGATGAGATCCATTGTAAGGCTCTAATTGTACCAGGAGTTGTGTTATGCTCATCCTAATATACCAGACAGTCTACTGAAATCAATGGGAATGCTTGCTGTGCCTAAACTTACAAATGCACTGTGCTTTTATCAGATCTGGACTTGTAGCAGACGTAGTTCAAGAGATAATCTTTGAAGTTATCCCTCTACACAGCTGACGAGGAAAAGAGAATGAGAATAAATGGTAAAGATGATGGCTTTCATCTCCTAAAACAACTCTCCAGACAATTTCCTAATGAGGAATTCTGTTTGAATTGTTGCAACTACATAAGTTACTGCATTTTGCTTTGGTATAGATAATCATGATAATAATATTTGCCTGTAGCAAAATGCCATAGTAAGTCAGGGACATGATTTCCATCTGTCTTTCTCTGCTTGTTGTTTTTTTTTTTTTAAATCCCTTCTTTCAGTTAGGAGCTGCTCACACATGACTGAAGTCCAAGACACGTTTTCAGCCTTAGTCTGCTAATTTTGATCATTCAGATGCTTGTCTTCCCTATGTTTGGGTGGATCTTTATTACAGAGAATTATCAAAATATTTTGTGTAAAGATTTAAGTGCCAATATGTATACGTACTACATAACTGGAAAGAGGCAGAGGGGATTTTTTTTTCACATAGAGAGTAAACAGGACATCAGAACAAATTTCTTGCTCCAGTCAATTTTCACTATGAGAGTCAAATATAATTTCAGTCAAAATCAAAGCACAAAAACAAGTAGCTCAATTCTAGCATGTGCCCACCACCATCCCGCCTGGTCCTAAACAGGAGACAGGCCTGGCTTGGTGCTCAGAGGCAGCACTCTTCTGATGTGGCTTTGATGCAGCAGAATCAGGATCCCCACTTTTAGATCCCCATCAATCTTAAAGCCTTGTTGAACCAATGCTCTGATTATTGTCTTTTCTAATTATTGCCTATGTTTAATTGGAATGAACCCTGACAAGCCAATACTTTGATTTTAAAATGATATTCTGATAAATGCTTTCTTATCTTTGAAACATCAGTATAGAAGACGTATTGTTTGTATCTGAAATAGGCCATTTTTATGTGTGTCACATTTGGAAAATAAATCTGCTCCTATGCCCCCTCAAGGCTGCATTAGATGATGTTAAGTGCTCTCATTTTTCTGCTCCTTCAGATATTTTTAACTGGATGAATCATTAGGTATTCTGGTCACTCCTTTTGCAGATGCAGTTATGATTTTAACAGGGAAAATGTCCGTTCTGTGATATCTCTCTGTGACAACCGTTCTCATTGCAGGGAAGGTTTAAGTCACCACAGAAATATGAAAAACACCCCCGTCAGGGTATTTGAGAGGTTGTGTAGTCCACTCCCTGCCTGAAGGCAGGCTCATCTCTGCCAGGTCATCCCTGGCAGAGGTTGGTCCAACCTGAGATCCCCCCACGCCCATGTCTGGGCCCACGACTCGCAGCTCCCCTGGCTGACAGCCCTGGTGCCAAGTTATTTGAAACCTCTGTTGTTCAACCTAAATCTTCCATGTGACACTTTTTAAGGCTGTTTCTTCTTATCTTGTGATCCTACAGGATAAGTTTGAAGATGTTGAAGCTGTTATCATATTTCTCCTCCGCCTCCTCTTGTCTAAGCAGCCCCAGTGCTCTCAGTCTCGCCTCCGCGATTGCGGACTCTCAGCCTTCACACTTGGTGCTCCTGCCCTGGTTTCTCTCAAACTGACCCCATCTTTCTTGAAGTAGAGCTGGGATGTTACCAGTGACAAACAAGGCAGAACAAATCTTCCATACAGCTCCTTTGTGTGTCCTGCTGTGAAGTTGCATTTTCACAGCAGCACAACATCACTGACTCAGGTCATATGCACTCATGTGCTCTTGTGCACCCCAGAGCCTTTACTAAAACGCAGTTGCTTAGTCCACCAAATACCTTGTATTTATACTGTGAATTTTACTGCCTAAAGTATTTATTTCAGACTACTTCTATTTTTCAAAATAATTTTGTTCTCCAGTCATGTCCTCCAGCTTGTGTCCTGTACAAGACACCTACGTTGTCTAGTGTCCAAATCATTAAATATTGAACAATACCAGACACAGAAGTCCTAGCACAGATTTACTTGTCCTTTTCTCTAGAAGTATGGTTTCCCAGCCAGCTGTACAACAATTTCACAGTGATTTCAATAAAACTGTTTCCTTAACTTGCTTATGAGACTCCCCTGGGAAGCAAAGTCAAAAGCAGCACTACAGCCAATACGTCTACTGCTTCTTCCCTCATTTGCTGTCTATATACAATATTAACCTTTTTTTGCCCTTAGCAGTGTATCACTTTTTTCTTGCCTTCATGTTCTAGCAAATGTTCTTTCCAGATTTTTTTTCTGTTCTTTTTTCTTGTTACTTCCTGTGTTAATTCTATTATATTCTACGCCTTGGCCTTTTTGATTTTGTCCTTGTAGGTTTGTGCTAGTCTTACATATGTCTTCTTAGTAACTTGACCTACTTTCTGCGCTGAATAATTTTCAGGCCACTGAAAAACTCCTGAGTTAGCAAAAGCGGTTTCTTACTGCACTTCCTGTATCTCCTTTGTATGAAATAACCTGTGCTTGTCTTTTTGAGGCTGCCTTTTTAAGAACTTCCTTTAAACTCTCTTTTTCCTCCTGCCTTGCTTGCCTCTTAATTCTTCAAGTTGAGTGATGCTCCCTTTCTTCAAATCCTTTTTTTTTTATTTTACTGTTTTTCTTTCTTCCCTTGCTAGATGTCAGAAATCCCATTCCTTATGATCCCTGTCCCAGGGTTTGCCTTCTCCCTTCACCCTCTGGACCAGCTCCTCGCTGCTTGGCAGAAATGAGATCCAAAGGAGCCTTTGCCTCTCCAAGAACCAGACAATAATCCCTGTTGCGGCAGGGCTGATTCCTCTCTTCGTTTATACTCGAAGACTTTCCGCAGCTCTGTTGCCTCCAACTGCTGGCGTTCCTGGCAGGCATACGCAGCCACCACGCACACCTTGGAAACATGCCTCTTCATCTCCCCGTGCCCCAAACAGATCATAAATCTATCATGTCCATTAACCCGTCAGATCAGTTAAGTAAAAATTCTGATTATGAATGACATTCTTTCAATTTGTTTTTCATATTTCTTGTATTAGCATACAGACCTCCAAGGTAGTCATCCCACTATTTTCTTTCTTCTTTTCATTCCCGGGGGGCTTTAGTGCCCTGCTTTCAGGACGCGCATTATCCACCTCTTTATTAGTTTTCTCAGTCTGTGCCTGACAACATTCTTACTTCTCTGTGTGAGATGGGCTCTCTTGCTTCAGGTGTTATTGCCTCCTCACTGAGAAACTGCAGTTGTTGCTGAGTTCTGCCTCCTGCCCCCTCCCCAGACGCTGGTCTCTGCCCCAGCCCTTGCCCTCAGCAGGAGGGGCTGGGCAGAGCCATCCTCACAGCTCGTCCCCCCCCCGAGTCCTCAGCGAAGTGCTCACTCCCAGCTTTCCCAGGGGCTCGCTGAATGGGAGAGGTTTTCTAACAGCTCTGATGATCCAGGCTCTCGACAGGCACTGTGGCTGCTGGGATACTGGATTAGATCTGCAAGGGGACATCTCTGTCACCTTCAGCTTCTTTCCTTGTCAAACTGCCAGTTTTGCACATCTTAGATGAATGAAGTATGACTGTCCTCAAACCTTACTAGTGACGATTCCTCACTCAGTACCAAGGCACAGCCTGGATAGCTGTGCACATTGTACAGAGGAATCTTCTTCAAACAGAACAACGCGATAACACCATGATCACATCGTACCCTCCCAGTTTTCATCAACACAATATTGGTATCTTGCCAAAGGTCATGTCACTTCAGGGGACAGTTCTATGTTCCTGATTCAGCAGGGTGTCTAAAGACAGAACTCCTCAACTGAGCTACCAAAGCCAAAAATGAATGCCTAAATGATGAACTTATGCCTGCTGTTCATCTGAGTCTAGGCAAATGGCAATGTGTAAGAATCGCTTTTATAAAAACATAATCTGTGCTACAAAATACCCTGAAAGTCATACATTAGAACAAAACTGTTCTTCTTACCAAGTCTGAATTTCAGTCCAGCCTGCAATGTATTCAACGGTTTTCTCTCTGACTCTGTTTCTGAAAATCTCCAATTATGTGAGAACCCAAAATTTCATAAGAGCTGAGCAATTGCTTATGATTGCAGAGAGAAACTCAGAAGTGTGCACCCTCCTAGTTCAGCAGCGAAACAGCCATTTGAAAGAACTATGATTTGTTGTTTTTTCTTTCTTTCTTTCTTTCTTTTTTTTTTTTTTAATCCTATTATTTGAAAGTGAATTCTGTGACTAACGATTTTGAACAGTTTCGACTTGCCACAGTGCCAGGTAAGCATGGCAAATGTTTGAAGGATTGAGACCATTAGCTGAAGTGGTCCATTCTCACATATTTTCTTACCTGCCTGCTGGAGACAAATAGAGAAATAAAATAAGAGCAATGAATAACCTAGCCAAATGTCAGCAGTGAGGAGCCAAATTCATCATGGTGGCCACTTCAGCCACTGTGAAACATCAGCTGGCTGTGAAAGCAGAACCCTCAGTAGGGGTTTAATGTAATATTATGAGCAGAAGTAATTCAGATTAGCCATGGCCCTGAATCAGGACAATCATTAAACTGTATATACTGCAAAAAGCATTTCTCATCATTATCCCTCATCATCCTCATTCTCATTTGGAAAGTATTAAACTACTGTATTAAGTTATTTAGATTGTTAGTCATATAAAGGAGAGGCATTTTTATTGCTGCCTTGGTCACTAGGTTTTTCCCAGCCAGTAGCAGTCTTCTCATAACTTAATCAAACCAAAGCCCAGGCTCAGGGGAAATCCACTGTATTGAAGCAAAAGAAAATGACCCTGCTAGGTTCCTAAACTTTACCAAGCCCTAGAAATTTCCAAAGGGAAGGGCTATTACATCAAAATATTACTCCAGTATTTCAAAATAAGGATGACCTAACTATGTTTTAAAAATGAATTTAATTTTTTTTTGTTGTTCTTTGATTCACTGTAATAACTACTGGAGATGTTAATTTGCTTTTCCCTCTGCATAAGCAAAGAATTTTGGGCAATGTGGATGTGTACAGTACTTTAAACGAGATTTTGTTTTCTGAGGAGAGAAGAGGAACCAGTTAATAGGCAGAGTGGCTTCCTTTTTGTTTCAGTGATAACAAGCATGAACCTCACAAGCAAATGGGAAACCCATGAACTAGACATGGAGCTCTGAGGCCTGGGTGCCTGCAAGATAAACACTACCACCACCTAATAATTGCAGGGGAGGACAGTGGATGGAGAGGAAGACTCGCTCACATTTTCATGGGTTGCCTCTTGTTCCCAGTGGAAGAGAGCACAACAAAGAAAGAGGAACTGGTTGGTCTTTTCCATCTCTGCCCTGCTTGGCTGGAAGAAGAAGGCCATGTAGCACCCAGTCCCTCCTAATGAACAGGGTAGAGCACATCCTAAAGAGCTACCCTGGGAGAAATTGCTTCTTCCAAGTGGATGGAGCCGACAGCTCCCTCGGCTGCCCCAGCACCATGGTAGTGCAGCCTAGAGGTGGGCACAGCTATCACATAAAATCATAAAAAGCTCTGCGGCAGCTGCAGCAGTTCTTTACACAGGATAATAATATCAGAAAGTACTCACAATAAAGTTGTAGATTTTACTTAGCAACTCAATGCAAGGAGAAGCACTGGCTCAGTGTGACCAGCTCTCCCAAGAACAACTGCTCCATATTGTCAAAATTGTGTTTGGAGTAATAGCCCAGACTTCTCATGACCTGGGATTCCTCACATTAGCAAAGGGTCCTAATTCTTATCTTTTCACTGGTTTTACACCAGTCTGTCCCCACTGACTGTGGAGTTGTTTCTTACCACTTTTGACACTAACATCCAGATTTGGGTACAGCATCTCCTCTGGTGGCAGCCAAATCTCACCACTACCAGTGTAAGTAAGAAGATTACAAAACTGTCTCCTGCTACTGGCTGATTCTTGTTTGGGCCAAAGCAAACTGGGACCGAAGGACAGGCCCCAACAACTCAGGATATACACCAAAACCTGAGATTTGCCGTATAGCCTGCCTCTTCACCATCTACCGTGCTTTTTTTTTTTTTCATTATTTATAGGTCAGGTCAAGGCAGATTGCAGGCCTGTTTAAGGCACTGAGCTGACAGCCGCTTTTGTCCGTGCTTAGCAGTTGGGATCAGTGTGGATACCAAAACCTGATGTTAAGATTGCCAGATCTGTACATGTAGGAGAGAACTGTGCTATCTTCTTTTTTGCAGAGATACAGAGGAAAAACTCTGGAAGTCAAAACTGTTACCACCTGGCAAACTGAGCTCAAGCCTCCTAGCAGCTGTATAGGCTGCTACTGAGCGCTGCAAAATAATCAATATTAATTCCGATTCTGATACTTGTTTCAAAAGACTGCTAGCATATGACATTCAGAAACACTGGATCATTTAATGTGGTGACTTGCAGATTCCTACTGGGTTAGAGTTTGATATTTAACCTTCTGAACAGTTTCACTAAGTAGAGAAAAGCAGCAGGAGATTTTCTTACATAGGGGAAGACGCTTTTTCCATACATTAATGAGAAAACAGGATTCTAACTACACTTTTGCTGTTGCCTCAACATGCCGTACTTGAACTCTCATGCCCAAGGCTACAAGAATTAAGTGGTTTCTCAAAGCTGAAACAGGAACGCCTTCCTCCATCCTCATTTTCAGTGATGGCGGGGCTATCGGTGTGGCTGCGGCAGGGAGCGGATGGCAGGACACAGCTTGCTACGGGCACAGCAGATGCAGGTGAGCACGACACGGATGCTGTAATTCAGCGCCGCTGACCTCCTCGCCTTACCTCCCTGCACAGCACCCACAGAGGCAGAGGGGTAATTCAGCGCCGCTGACCTCCTCTCCTTCCCTCCCTGCACAGCACCCACAGAGGCAGAGGGGCAAAGCTGCCACATCCGGACACAAACAAGCACAAAAGTCTGTGGGGAAAAATACAAAACCCTCCTCAACCCTAAATTTAGTGTTTCTAAATAAAAAGGATTTATACCGCGGTGCCTTTTTTCTTCTCTAACATGTAGCTCTCAACAGATGGTGATGAACAGTTTGGAATTAAACTGTATGCTGCTGCATTTCTAGACGTCTTTTTACAGCACTATGCTCAGGGCCACATCCTCGCTATTCGCAATTACTGGGAGGTAATTTTTAGCTGCTCAAGTTGTTATTGCTAAAATGTGATTTCAGCTACAGATGCTGTTTCTTCCAAACCATCAGATGTCCACATTTCCACAAGACTGCCCGTTGGCGAGAAGTGAGTGACTAGAGCTCAGAAGTGTCACACCAGGTTCAAGTTTGCGATTTACCTATGGAGAATGAAAAAGTGTTTTAAGTGTGGCACGCCTGGCAAACATTTCATTAGCAGAATGGATAAAATACTTGAAACGTAATTGCAGTAAGTAAAATGCCTATGAGAGGCTAACCCCTCCTCAGGCTGCCCACAGTGAGCCCATGTCATGAGCTAGGAGGCCGAAACTTCACTTTTCCATGAGCAACTGTTGTCACCCGAAGGACTCAGATGTCACCAGAAGAGGAATTGTTTATCAGCATCTTCCATTTACTCTCTTGTGCCCTCTGACTAATAAACTGGAAGAGTTTATATATCCATACAATTTATGTTGTTGAAATAATACTTCTGCCATCTTATTAGTTTCAGTAAGCAGGTAATAAGATTCTTCTTTTGATCACGAAAACCAGAAGTACTGCTCAGTTACCCTTTGAACAGCGCCTTGCATTCTGATGGCATGTTAAATTAGAGCGCCTGCTTGGGTGTAAGGATGCTTTTAATTCATATTTAGGATAATATGATTTTCTAGCCACTCGCTGGCTCCCAATTGATTACTATAGTATTGTAGGTAGCCAGTTTGTCACGGGCACCTGCTTACGTGTGTCAGAGCTGAGTGGTGCCATGCAGAGGGGAA